TGTTCGCAACCTGCATATAGATAATAATGACATCTCAATCTTGCTTCTGTTTCAGATGTTATAATTCTTCCATTGCATTTATCTGTAAAGGACCATTATCAAAAATAAAGTGATATCTCCTGAGTCCATCTATTCTCATTTCTTCCGGTGTGGTGTCTTTTCTGCAGGATGCACAGAACTTGAAGAAGATGAAACGTAACAGTAAAATTGGGAAGGAAATTGTCTCTGCGTAAGTTCATCGAGCCTGCACTCTCTGCAAGGCTTATAAAGTTTGATATAAAGGGCTGCTGAACATTAACACTCATGAGAATCTTTGAAGTCTATGAATACGTGGACTGTAAGTCAGAGCTTTGAGATTGAATGAGCACAGCATTATATTTTGATAATAAAGTTCATGAAACTGCCAGGTTGAGGTGGTCTATGTGGAAATCAGTATGCTAGAATAATATACAAAGTTATCTTCTCCGACTGAATATAACTGGTTGTCTTTAGTAATAAGTTGCAGGCAGTTTCAGTACAGGAAAAGATGAGAACTATTGGTTGTTTATTTGTTCATGTGTAATGAGAATTGATGACTCCGTCAGTTATTAAGATCGAAAGGGTCAACTGAAAGAGATGCTTCCATACCACCTGGATTATGTTTGTTAAAATTTAAAGGGAAATAACAGGAGAGAAGGAATACGGAACACATGAATCTGGTGTAAAAGCGTTATTATTGTTGTCATATCCTCTTGTATTGTCTGCATATAATGGCTGCTAAATGGCAATGGTAGGGAAGTAGTATTTTAAATAGTTGTTTTCAGAATTTAATGAGCATGTCATCAATTATTTTTAAACGACGTTGTAGCTTCTCAAAGTTATATCTGATTGCGTTAGAGATATTTGTGTTTTAAAATTTTGTATGTTTCTATCTTCCTTAATTTCTAGTATTTGTGCAAGTGGTATCAATAGTATTCTATTTATCACGCAGCATTAAGAAAGGTGGCACAAACCCAACATCAAACACAATTTTAGCTGCTGTGCTAGAGAAAGCTAGAGAACTTGATGTGCCTAAGGAAATTGTGGATAGAAACATCAAAAAAGCTTCAGAGAAGGGACAAGAGGATTTTATTGACAAGTTCTATGAGGTAAGTTTAGTGTTATAGTTCTCAAATTGATGCTTTTATTATCCTTTACTTTGAAGGCTTGGTAAAAGTTTCCAAATGGTAATTATGCTGGGTATTGCTAAGTAGGTATATGGTTTTGGTGGGGTTGGCATGGTAGTTGCGGCCTCAACAGATAAAGTAACTAGAACCATTGCTGATGTTAGGGGTGTGGTAAAGGATTGTGGAGCAAAGCTGGCTGATCCAGGATCCATCTTATTCAAGTTTAGGCGAGCACGAGTTGTGAATGTAAAGGCTATTGATGCTGATAAAGATCAGATTCTTGGTATTGCTTTAGACGCTGGTGCTGAAGATGTGATTGAGCCTACGGTTTATGATGATGATTCAGTAGAAGATCGTTCAGAAAGGTCTTATTCTATCTTATTATCTCAAGCAATGAATTTGCGAATTTATTTTTCTCTCGAATATTTTTCTCATTCATGTGTCTTCAAGTATTCTATTAACTTGAGAACAAATGGGCACTGACCTTATAATGATTAATAAGATATGCAGTTAATCAGTTTGGCATGTAAAAGCTAGTCTCTTTTTTCCTTCCAGAATAACATGTTTTACCATAAGTAAAAGCAAATGAATCAATCTCATATATCCATTACACAATAACTCGTGTTACCTAAGAATTTACCATAAGCAAAAGCAAATGAATCAATCCCATATATCCATTACACAATAACTCGTGTTACCTAAGAAAATGCTAATGGATGAATCCTATATATCCTCTAGCAGTTACTGTTTACTAGGTTTCTAGGATTTTTTAGCTTTATGAGTCCATTCCTCTCTGGTAATATTTACTTGTCATTTCTTCTATATTAATGAACTCAAACTGGGCATTCTGGTGCATTCGTGATTACCCACAACTGTGATTTTTCTGTGAGAGTTACTCTCTGGATTCGACGTTTATATATGTGGAATCAGCTATACAGGGTGAGAGATGAAGTCTAGTTTCAATGTATTTACATTGTATTAATCTAGAAAATAGTTCTGAAATTGCTGTCTTCAAATGGTTGGCAGCCCTTGATCTAGGGTTATAGAGTTCTTTAATTGACCTGCAATGTTCAATTATAGGTTTTATCTCCGGCTGCAATTATAAAATTTATGCACATGTCTGATTGCAATTTTGTTAGTGTATAGGATACCTCTTCTTTTGTACTATAAATGGACATCTTGGATGGACAGTACATGCATATGCATATAGGCAGGTAATATAATAGCCAAGCTTGCAATAAATTGTAGTCGATTATTAAGCTTTTTGTCTGCAATTGGCTGTAATATGTGTTGGAAAAGAGTAAAATCATAGACTCACACATGTTGGCTTTATGCCAATTCCATACACACTGATAAATGCGTCCATATACAGTTAGTAGTCAACCACCTAAATGCAATGGCTGACACAGGCATCAAGTGATCCTCAACATAGTTACACAGTATGTGCTACGTAGCGGGTCGTGGTACACAATTTGCCGTTTAGAAAATATGGATTCGATTGTCGGGGGGTGGGGGTTGGTGTAGCTTGCTTTGGTACGCAAGTTTGGTCATTAGCACGTTGTAAAATGTTTTTGGGATGTGCTTACCATTTTCCAAAGTGTATAGTAGAAACATAGAAACTAGAAAGCTAATTATGCATTTCAATATTTTTCATATAAAATACTCAAATGCTTCTCTTTTTATGGAGTTTATTCTTTTGTTCTGTTTCTCTTTTCACATAGTTTGTGTTGGGATCATGACTTCATTTCACGTTTAATTAACAGAGGTATTTAGTCATTGTAAAGACATTGGCTCATATATTCTATTGTGTGTCTCCCTTTACTCAATTGTGTACATTGCATTGCGCCTTGCGGATATACACACTTTAAAGGGACTTTGTGCCCCGCATTCTTATAAGCGGTACGCCAGTTTTGGGGAACCAATTCG